GTGTGTGTGTGTGTGTGTGTGTGTGTGTGTGTGCGTTGCTCTCACCGTGCTGGCTGGGCTCTGGATCAGCCTGGTTCTTCTTAACGGTGAGGTCCAACGGGCCGTCCTGGTCGGCCATGAGAAGCTTGCTGAGGACGGGATTCTGTGCAGAGGCAGCAGCCGTACCTCCTCCTCCTCCCCCCCCACCATTACTGGCTCCCGTACTGTTGCTGCTCTGGGTGCAGGCGAGTGCTGAGGCAGCACCAGCGGAGGTGGGGCTGAAGCATTGTCCCGGGGTCGGGGATGGAGAGGAGGAGGCAGATGATGGAGGAGAGTTTGGCGCAGCCAGTGGCCCGGGCGGAGAGCTGGGGGCCGGGGCCAGAGACACCGCTTTTGGCAGGCTTTGGTCCTTCATGGTGCCGTTGGGCAGGGGCGGGTCGTCCTGAGTAGTTTTTGAGGTATATTCAGCAGCGAACTGGCGGATCATTCGCTGCATGATCTCACGAGCCACTAGAGGAATGTGAGGGTCTGAGAAACTTGGGAGGTCTGGAGAGGAACAAAACAGGAGAGCAAACATGTTAGCGTCCCGTCCTCCAGGAGTCTGCTCAGCCGATGCTGCTCTCAGCAGCTTATTTATACCATTTCATCCGAAAATGTAATCCTGATGCTTTGCTCAAATAATCACTTGGAATAAGGGCTTAAACCTGCCTATCGATGTTGGAAACACCATGATATCAGTTTGTGCAACAGATTACTGCTTGCCATTATTCAGCTGGGGCTTCCATAACAATTCCCTTCCCCAGGATTCCTTCTTGTTTTCAGTCTTACGCTCCACACTATGTCATCTCTAAACACTGTATTTCAGAGCAGTTTGTCCAGGATTTGATCTTGCAGCAGTGTGTTCACTTGAATATATTTGCGCAGGCAAACAGCCCACATGGTGCAGACACCACAGCCTCTCTATTCACAATACCAACAAGTATTTGATCTGTCACTTTGACAACAACATAAAATCAGCAGTTTTTATTTTTTGTGTAGTTTTTCATCAAACCCATATTTTGAATGATTTGGATTTTCAGCATCGTTTAACATTTGCTCTTTTTCTCCATTTTAGATCAAAACTGAATATTTTTGCGTTTTCTGATTTTAGATAAAATTAGCAATCTGAAGATATTGGTTGGAGCTCCTACAATCTTTATACATAATAATAATCTTCAAACATAATGTGTGAAAATACAAAATGCAGTGTTTAAATTATTAGTTCATTTATTAAAATGAAAAAAAAATTGACCCCATCCCAATTTCTTAGTTTAGATGGAACGGCACAATCAGCATGACAAGTTTTTACTTTACTTACTACAAAGTATTCTGCAAATGTTCCAGGTTTGGCAAATAGGAGGAATGATTTAATATTCTGAAAATCTGAAGCAACATTTATCCCCCAGACAACAACTCCTATCATCTACAACTTTACAACTGTGTTTGACAAAAATTAGTCAAATTGTACTTAAGGGTAGTCGAAATTATTACATGCTTGGGTTTCACCTCCTGTTACTGGTTTCTGTAAGATTAAGCAACACTAAATCAAACTAAATCATCTGCTTGAGTTTCTTTTTGTTTCATAAATAAGGGCATTTTGGCTTCCACATTTTTAAAAAATACAAAAATACTTGAGACACGAGTAAAACATAAATAAATAAAAAAATCCAGGTAGTGAAAGAAACTAGAAACAGAAGTCATATTTCTACCATATTAGTTTCTCATCATTGGCTCCATGTTAAATTTAGAACTGAATGTCCTGAGAGATCAGTCCCGTCACATCTTAAAGAACAAATAGTACCACATTATCCCAACACAGCACTTCTCCCTCCTCTCCTGGCAGCCTGGATACTTTTGGGATTAGGCTTCAAACTTTCCTTTTTGATAATGCTCATTGGCCCTTAGTTGTGCTGGGGACTTCCCATGGTGCACTGGGCATTCCTTGTCCACTTTTATGTCAGTACTGCTTATTATTAAATTTTGTCTTGTTTCTATCATAGGTTTTGTTTTTGCACTTGTTTCTCTTTGCCCTCTTCTATCTTGCTTTTCCCCACACCAAGCCAGGGAAGGCGGCTACTGCCTGGTCATGTCAGAAGTCCTGACTTCTGTTAAAAGGGAGTTCTTCCCTACTGTCGCCCAATGCTTGCTCATAGGGGGTTAATTTGATTCTTTCTAATATTGCAGGGTCTTTATGTTTCAATATAAAGCATCTTGAGGGCAGTTTCACTGTAAATTGACACTTTATATGAAATTAAACTGATTAAGAAAAATGACAGTTTCAAAGTCCAGCAAATATCAGAAGAGCAATTAGGGGGAAAAACCCAACGATTTCATAATCCAACTTTCTGTGACCTCCTGCTGTGACCAAACAAATCCACATCAAACACTGGTCACTGATCTCGCTGGTTAATACACACTCAACAAAGCAGTGACAATGACAACACTCGTTTGTTATTAAATCCATTAATCTGGCATTGTCCCAGATAAGTCAGCTCTACTTACTCCTTATAAGCAAAAAGTATATATTATTATGCAGATAAATTCACGCATGCCACTGAGTCAGAGCCCAAATCCTTCAAACAATACATTAGCCCAAAAAATGTAATCCTGTAGCTGTGCTGAAATAATCCAGAAATCACATGCACCGTACATACAAGATACACAACTACTAATCCTGCCTATTGAGAAAGGCACCAGTATACAACAGCTGCTAGCCATTGCCAGCCATTCATCAGATATTTGCTTTTTCAAAATCTAACCCTAATTTGTACAAGATGATTTTGAACTCCCTGCACTGTGTGATCCAAAGAAAAGAGCAGCAATTGCTGCACCCTGACATCTTGGTTGGGCTCTGGTAAAAGATATCAGTGAGCTGAGGTTATCAGCTGTTGATACACTAAAGACTACAAACATGGCTCCACTACTTCAGTGCAAAGGATGATACACCCATATTAGCTTTTTAAAAACAGTTTTTGACAGAACAAACATTCTGGTAAACACTTTGATCTTACATTTTAATTCTTAGGTTTTTATATTGATACAAGCTGCAAGGCTTTATAAGTGAAGCCACTGTACAGCTGTTTACCTAAACGTGACTAATGCCCAGGTCAATTAACTCAACATATTTTCATTCTTACATACAGCTCTGCTGTGTAAGTTCTAGTTTGGGTGCAAATGCTAAACATTGTTGGAGTGGCATGAGAGTGGGTTCATGGTAACGATCCGTGAACATTTACATCCACCGAGAGCTTCAAGGTCAACTTCTTGATTGGTTGACAAAAAGCTTTAGAAGTTAGTGTGCGGTGTATATGGTCAACGTAGATTAAGTACTGCATAAGGACTTAAAACATCATGTCACATCTGACCTCTGACCTCTCCTTCAACATCAACAGATTGATCTGAAGGTCAAAGTGATAATAATGGTATACAGAGGTATACACTATATGGTATACACTATATTACTTTTTTAAAATACATTTTTGTGACTAAAGACTTAAACAAATTTCACCAAACAATGAAATGAATGCAACACATGCAGTAAATCCACATAAATAACAACAATAATTACAGACAAAATTAGGTTAAGTGTATTACATTGATTTCAACAGAGCAAATAAAAAAACTTAAAAACAACCTTCCTGCACTACAAACTCCTTAAAGTACATTTAAAAAGAAGAAACTATCTACAAACACAACACTAATCCCTTAAAGGTACATACTGCCCTGAGAGCAAGCTACTCGGGTGGAGGTTTGCACTCTCAGAGCGCTGCATGTTGTTGCTAAACATCATTTTCTCTCATGATCCAAAATGACCACAGGCGCTGTCAGATCAGTGATTCTGTGCCTAACCGTGCTTGTGGATCTGTTACTGTATGAATGACTGTGTGTGTGTGTGTGTGTGTGTGTGTGTGTGTGTGTGTGTGTGTGTGTGCGCGCGCCACATCATGCCTATGCCTGTGGGACTGTTTTTCTGTCTAAATATAGCAGCTCCACAGGCATCTCTCCCTGTGTGAGTGAAGCCAGATTGATTGAGGCTGGGCACTGACTTGACAAACATCTGTTTCCTTCCTCCTGGAAAAAAAATTAAAAATACAACAGCTACAGTCTCCACCAGACTCAGTTCACCTCCGTCACAAAGCATCCACCTGCCTCAGGACAGAACATGATGTCTTCTTAATAAAAAGGGGATTTATGGCAATTCAGCAAATATGCAGATATTCAGTAGAAGGTGATTGTACTGACTGAAAGCTGATCATTTTAGGGTCTTTACCTTACAATACTAAGCAGCTTGAGGCAAGCTTGAAGCTTGTTGTCTACAGTTTCTTCATGTTTTTTTTATGTTATAGGGGAAATGCACATTAATTAAAACGAGCACTTAAGTCCATCATAGAAATATACCGGCTATATAGTAACGGTCATCTGGAGTCCCCGACAAGTGAACAGCCAACTTAAATGTAAAATCACGGCTCGACTTCAATGCTTGGTTCAACTTGTTTTAAGAATTTTTGGTCAACTAAATAAAATTTAAGTTACAATTGAATATAGATATTATTATTTCTGACAGCTGCAGCAGAGGGAAAACGTGGAGCAAAGGGCCAGCCAGCTGGGAGTCAAACTAGGAAGTGCTGAAGGAATTTTTGGCCATGTGATGTGGGTCCAAATTGTTTATCCAATGGCTCGATGCTTCAGTTAATTATTAGCAGATCATTCAGCGTGACTCCATTCACAACTGAAGACACAATAACACCGGGCAGTGAACAGAGTTTAAAGAAAGTGTAAGACAACAGCACTACAGCAGTAATTCCTGTTTTGTAGAGAGAGAGAGAAAGAGTGAAGAAATAAGAAAGTCTCTGATTGGACTGAGAGACTAACTGCGTGACCAAAGCGCTCCGCAGATATGGATCAGTTAATTTGATGGAGGTAGTCCAAGTATTGATGAAATCATGTCCACTTCTGGTTTGACATTAAACCTGTAAGACTGGTGCTGGGGCGAACATTTAGCTCAATGGGAACAGGGGAATAATAGCGCATACATAATGCCAGATATGCCCTAATGCATAATAAGTGACTTAAATCAGATGTGAGGAAAGAGTCAAATTGAAAATGTAAGAAACAGGGATTCTTGCAACAGTGCCTTTTACAGGAAATGACAGAGGAGGCCGGCTTAACATGTGTCAGATAATGGAGAATAGAAGCTCTCAAAGGTAACAAAAAGCACAAAACATTTTAACAGATATTCTATTTAAGCAGCAGCAACTCTGCGTTCACACTGCAGTATCAAGTGTCACACCTCAAATATTTGGCATCGTGTTGACAAAGATTTGACAACAAAAAGGCTGCATTAATTTTATTATCTGTGAAAAATATGATCTGCGCTGTCTCCTTTGAAGTGTGAACAAAGAATATTTAACCTTTTAAATGCTAAATACTTGAGATCTGTTTTTAGAAAAAATACATATTCACTCCTCATAAAGCTGTGTTCTTTGTACGTGAAAATTTGCGCTGTGACTTTTCTGAGATTAACCGAAGCGCTTGAACTCCTCAACTATCGAGCACCTCGACATTTTGGATAGTTTTTCATCCCACTGCATCTGCCTTAGTGTAAAGGTCATCAAGTGGATTCTTACATTTTAGCAAAGTCAGCAGTCTGAGCAGTTCTCCCAAACAAACATCAGTGTTACTTTTGAACCTTTTTGACACGTAGGGTTCTTTCCTTTTCATTACCCTTTGAGTGAAACGAATTATTTTAAACGTCACAAGAAAAATTGGATTTAATCTTGCACTTTTATCCCAAGTGTTACCGGCTATGATGGTTGATATCATGCAAACTACTGTTATTATTGGGTGATTCAAAAAGCTTATTTGACACAGACATACATTCAAAACTAATTTACTCACATTTGTTATATGGCTACTATACAACAGATGTGCAATAAAAAAAGTGATAAAGACTATATGAACTCCTCCCATGCTTAATAATCAGTGTCATGGACGACAGAGATGAATCCTAAATGGCCTAAAGAATAATCAGTCTCAGGATCTATAATACAGTGGAACCCCGACTTACGAAATTAATTCGTTCCCGAAGGTCTTTTGCAAGTCGAAAATTTTCGTAAGTCGAAGCACCCATCGCGCATTTTGACTGAGGCGATGCTGAACGATAGGCTATAGGCTGCTAACTAGAACAACAATACGTCGTTCAAGTGGAACAGCAAAGCGCAAGTACGGAAGCTAAGGGGTTGTCACATGATTTGGAAGGCATTGTAGGCTCAGCCAATCAGAGCCAGCTTATTTCGTTACTCGGGCATTTTGCTGTAACACGGGCAAAAATATTGCCATTCAGTGCCTTCGTAACTTGAATTTTTCATGAAACGGGGGATTCGTAAGTCAGGGTTCCACTGTAATTGTAAATTGGCTACTTTGCAGATTCCACCTATCGCATGTTACTTTTAGAACGTAGCTACCATGATAAACATGGGACCACTGTATAGATATTTTAAGGCTGTCAAACCTCTCACTATACACTGTATACTGTATACACTTTTCTCAGACAGGCATGAACATTTTCACACTTTTCTCTTGTAGAATGAAACCAAAGATCAAACCCTGTTTTCGGGTCAAGAACATGGGAATAGAGCAGCTGCCAGAGAATTTAACATTAATGAATCAATGGTACGGAAGCAGAGGAAGCAAGAAGAATGAGTTGAGTAAAGTTTGATTTATCTGACTGTTTTGTTTCGCTTAATGCGCCTTATAATCTGAAAAATATGTTAACTTCTACCTTCCTTTAGCATGTCCAGAAGAACAACTTTTTGTGTGCGATGGTTAGCATCTTCCTCTGCCTTTTGGGTGCTACCGCAGGTGCCTTTGACGGTGCAAAAATTTCGTGGCCATTGTTGTGTTTGTTGGGAGAAAACTTACAAACATACAGTACAGTACTTCAGAGTCACACTGCTAGTGATCGATTAGACAAGCTGAACGCATTCTGTACTGTACAGGAGACACGGCACGAAGGAGACTGATTGACAGTGGTCTACAGCCAATCAGGACGCAGAACACAATGTGATGTAAAAAAACCCAAACAAACAAAAAAAAGCATGCAAAATTGCACAAAAAAACTAATAGAAACAGCGAAGCCGCGAAAGGTGAACCGCGTTATAGCGAAGGACTACTGTATTGTAAGACCACATCAAATTCAGATGAATCCCCAAAAGTCCATGTGAAAAGTCCATTGCTAAATTCATGCATTTTTGTTATGACTGTTATAGTGATACTTTTTCTTAGGGGTGTATGTATGTGGCAATCAGCACTGATGAGTTCACCTATCTTATTTTGAAAGTATCCAACGTCCTAAATTCAGTACTAGTTTCTCACTGTAACACCAATGTGTAAAGTAACACTGTACAGAGCTTCCTGCATGGCCTCTCACAATAACCATGGCACTGTTAGCACAGGTCGAAAAAGTGGGTCAGCCTCTCTGGCCCATTTCTCAACCGGTTTAGGGTCTACCTGCAAGGCAGAAATGTCTTTGTCCCAAATGTGAAACTCTGACAAAGTTACATCTGGGATCCCTCTGGGATCAATCCCTGGCCCCTTTTTATTCCAGCTGTACTGTCATGTCATCAATGACACTCAGGCATTACACATTGCTCCCAAACATAGACTTGTACCCTCTCCAATTCAAGTCCTAATGCTGAGCATGATGGATAATTTCTACAAGAGCTATTTATTTTAGTTCCCAAAGCTGAGCTACAGAATGCAAAAGACATAGTTTAGCTATTTATGAATAAATTATTTTCCATTTGAGGAAAAGAGTTACATACAACTTGGTATTGCAACCAGTGGGTAACTGACCAACTTTCTGTGTTACAGGGTAAAGACTAACATTGCCTTGAACCATCACGCAAACATTCTTTATTTTTCTACTACACTGGGCCTTGATGCAGACTCTCAGTTTGTCATTTAAACTTTACTCTGATTGGCTACCCCTTAGAAATATGTTTAAAAACCATGCAGTTAAAGCTTATGTTCTCACAGCAAAACTTATGAATTTGAGAGGACAATACTAAGGGCATCAATTACATCATGACGACTCAAACGTAGAATAAAATGATCTAAAATAGAGTTTTAAAGCATGCATTTATGGACTACTTTCATATAAGCTAAAACATCATTATTTGAAACATGTTTAATACAAACAACCAGCAATGTAACATATATTGATGACAGAAAAAAGAAAATTTAAATGAAAATATATAGGAAAAGTATCATATTAATTCTAAAATAGACCCATGTTAAATTACTCTGGATATCCATGTCTAGACTGAATTTAATAAATGAATAATGACTGATGAAGAAATGACTAATGAAGGGTATGTATGTCGTACCTTTTCTGTGGAACACAGCATTGAGGAAGTCTTGAGCCTGTCTCTCCAGTCGGCTGATCCGAGACTGCTCCTGTTTGAAGTCTTCACACTCCGACAGCACGTGGCTGCCTCCACCGTTCTCCACGCTGTGCTCCTACACAGACAAACACGCAGAGACCAACGAGTGAGTAAAGGTTTAGTGTGAAAGAAACTAATACCCTCACACTACCACCACATTATGCCACTAGCATTTTTTCATTATGATTGTTTAAACATGTCCAGCTCTCAATGTCGACAATTCTCCGACAGTTCTGTGTCAACAGAAGATGGGTTGCACAGCGGGGACAAGCAGACTTCTCCATACGTTGGCCTTTTTTATTTATCTTGGCAAGCATAGTATGCATTTATATTGCATTTTCCTAGTCTTATTGACTACTGAAAATATTGCAGGGCAAGCCATACACACACACACACACACACACACACACACACACACACACACACACACACACACACACACGTTTTTATTAAGATGACAATAACATAACACTACAGGGAGAAGTGGTGGCAGGACACGTCTTCACTTCCCTACTCACTCACTCACTACTACTACTAATGGCTCAGCCGCTGTGGAGTAAAATTAGGATTTAAAAATTCAGTGGTTACCGGGTGATTGCATCAAATTTTTCTTATTTGACAAATGACTGCAAGTGGTTGAGCGTGTGGTAGCTTTAAATGCTGGGTGACCAAGGCAATCGAAACAACAAACAACCGTGGTTGACTTGGGAGTGACTGTCGTCACTCTCAGATTACAACATGTTTGCAAATAATTTTGCTCTAATTTAAGAGTGGCTATGTTACTGTGTGGCTGTTAAATCACCATCATGTAGCATCTACATCGCACTGAGTATTTCTTCTTCAGTCACCTTTCTCACTCACTGTGTGTTAATAGACCTCTCTCCCTTGAATCATACTTGTTATTAGTCTCTGTCTCTCTTCCACAGCATGTCTTTATCCTGTCTTCCTTCTCTCACCCCAACCGGTCCCAGCAGATGGCCCCGCCCCTCCCTCAGCCTGGTTCTGCTGGAGGTTTCTTCCTATTAAAAGGGAGTTTTTCCTTCCCACTCTTGCCAAAGTGCTTGCTCATAGGGGGTCGTATGATTGTTGGGTTTTTGTCTTTATGTATTATTGTAGGGTCTACCTTACAATATAAAGCGCCTTGAGGTGACTGTTGCTTCAGAATTTATCAGTTAATTGGTGTATTCTCACAAACAGATCACATGTGCTTGACCCCATTTAGTTGTAACTGAGAGCAAACTAATTTCTAATCTTGCATGTGATCTACAAACACTGTTTTCCCCAGTCTGACTGAAGGGAGCCTCTCTTTAATCCAAACCACTAACTTTTCCAGGATATCGAGGCCTTTAGATCCTTACAGTACAATAGAGAGGAAATTTGAGTGCATGTATGCGTCTGTGTGCATGAGTGGTAGGAAACAAAGGAACTTAGATGAGAAAAGCTTTCTCCAGTCTCTGTTCTCTTTATTTTAACCCCTCAGCTCTCTTTCTGCTGGTGGTTTGCATGGCTTCAGATCAATGAATCGATGGTTCCCGCCCACTGAAGCTCCTCTGGCATCTTGCAAACAAGCAGAGGGTAATAATGGCGAGACAGGGAGAGCACTTGAAACCCTAACATATTAATAAAAACCTGTATTTGAGCGTAGAAGACGAATGTAATTGAGGTGCCATGGTTTGCATTATGTGAGCGGCTAACAGTTATTGAGTATTTAGAAAATATGGTGGAAAAAATAAACCTTCTGGAAACCCTGCAAGGTTTTGTGTAATTGATTTTACTCCGATAACTGCTTCCGTTTTTTTATTCATATCTTATCTGTGATTATGCTATTACATGCACAAGTGAGCTCTGGCAACGCAGCTACTGTTAGCTACTGCTACATGGCTTCATGCGCAGAGAAAGGCAGAGGCCAATGGGGGCTCGGAGATGGTAGTGAGTGGTGGAAAAATGGGGATGTTTTTAGCAGACAGATGGTCGACCCTGGGGGTCGGACCAGGGTCAAGTTGAAAAACAAGCAACAATGTATGTCTGACAGAAGGACGCCCCCTCCTAACTTCCTTCCCTTCCTTGTTTATTCTCACATACCTTTCTTTCATACATGTGTCCACATATACATTAGGTCAACATCCCAAAAAGTACTTACCCTGAGCTAAATAGGAACAAAAAATAAAAAAATAAAACGAACAAAAACAAATGAAAAGACAAAAAGTCTGCTAATGAACACTGTGACAGGCATTAAAGCTATAAGATGATTTCTTATAAATTATTGTGCATATTTTAGGCTTCAGTGTCCCTCCCCAATCAACTGCCCTCATAGAAATGCATTCAAAAGCATATGATAATATTGATATGTTAATTAACACAACATATGTGACTCATCTCTTATTACAGCCTCCAGACTAACAAGTCGTTTCTACTTTCTTCTGATATTTAAAAAAGAATTTTTCTTTTCATCCACATCACCCCCTACGGTGTTTATAATGGCGACTGTGGTGATAAGAGAGCGGAGGCCACATGCAACAAGGGAGCCCATTTGGAATCATCCAGAGACTGTTGAGGGCCCCGTAGCATCCTTGCTCTTTTTGTTCCTCATTTTTAAGTGCAGCGGAGGGCGGTAACAATGAATGGCCGCAAAACACGAAGGCCTTCTGCACAGCAGAATGAGCAGAAGCACGATGAACACATGCTTGCATTTGTATATATTAAATAGAAGCTTGTCCAATAAACTCATTATTATTCTGTTCAGGATGCTTTTTGTTGGGCTAAGAAACTGTGAGGGTGTACCAGCATCTAGGCTACTGTGGGAGACCAACTAATTTACAATCATGTCAGCATCCTCCTCCTCCTTCCACACACACACACTCACTCACCTCCAAATCATTATGTCACAGTCCTTTTATAGGCTAAATTGGGGTCAAGACCACGGATGGTTAAACAACACAAATAACAAGTAGTGCACCAGGAGGAGGAGAGAGACAAAGATGTGGTATTTTTCAATAGAAAACTTAAAACTGGCAGTGAACTAAAATACAGAACACGTGGACAAAGAAAATGAGCTGCTTCATGAAAGTAACATAAGTGCTGTATCAGGCAGAGAGCAGTATTCACCTCTGTTAGCGACAATGTTAGCGAGGAAATAGCTAATTGAAACGCACATCATTTTTTATTTTTTTTAAATTTGTACAACACTGCAGTGAAACATTCCCCTTCTCTACACTCACAGCACGCATTCAGTGGAACATGTTGTTATACATTATTCAAGGCCTTTACATCTTATTTGTAAGCCTTAGATAATAAAAGTGTGTTCTAATACACATCTTATATTGAGGGCCGTTTAAAAATGTAAACGTTTTTTTCCTTTGGACAAAAGCTGCAATTATTAAGTTGGGTGCAGGGATGGTGGTGTGGTTTGCCTCACAGCAAGAAGACCCTGGGTTGAAACCCAGTGAGTTGGGGTTCTCTACAGGTACTCTGGCTTCCTCCCACAGTCCGAAGAAATGCATGGGGTTAGGTTACTTGGTGACCTAACCCCCATGTGTAAATGTAGCCGTCTAGCTCTATAACACCTGTCCAGGATGTATCCTGCCTCTCACACTATGACTGCTGGGATAGTCTCCAGCATCCCTTTGACTCTTAACTGGATATGTGGAAGAGAAAGGGTGGGTATTAAGTTATCTATTTGTATCTTGCTCTCCTAACTAATAATTAATGTGGTTAATTCCCAGTAACCACATCTATGAAAACAAATAAAAACTTAAAAAAATGTTTTCCTTTGCACTCAAAGTATGAAATAAATAAACCCAGCTATGCCACAGCACAATTACACAGTTAAACATTATAAAATGTAGCCCCCACCCATCACCCCCCATATTCTGTAGTCTGCTTATTCTTTGAAACAAATTGTTCAATCGAGTGTGCTGCTAAAAAGCTAACATTAGTTTATTCAGGTGAAAACAAAACCTAATGTAACTCCATATTATATAAAAAAAACCCTGCTCCATTTACATCAGGCACCTTCGTGTTGTGAGGTAAAAGTGATACCACCCAGCAGCTTCTGAAGAGTTGTGAAATCACAGCCATGTAATTAGAATGAGAGGGTCTTATCTAAAAGGGAGACTGAACTGCACCTACCTTGACTTTCTCACGTCTTAAGCAGCAGAAGAGACAGTTTTCATCAAAGGACCAGTCAGACACCTCCTCTGGCTCGCAGTCTGCATGACAGAAAGTATGCAATTAATGACTAACTCAAACTCCCATAATGCTCAGGATCTCATAAGTTGACTGATGTGCTACCCGGGAGCAGAATCTGTTAGTGTAACAGTAGAAACAAAGAGCAAAACAACGTGGTGAAGGTTTATTGTGTGTTTTACTTGATTTGCAAGGCACTACTACAATTATTCAGTTTGAATATCCAGGTGCAGATCATTAGCGAGGTGTATATGAATCGAGGGAGAAATCCAGACTGATAAGCCGAGAGAGACTGACAGCTCAGGGACCACCACCCAGATCAACAACAGCAATAAAGTGATTCACTTTTAATTACAGTGACTGACTAAATTCCAGCGATTCAGTCCACAAGCATGCTGTGTAAAAATGAACCACACCTGTGACTGACAGATAAGCTCAATCAGGTATCAGGCACATTATTGCCTTAAACCTCCAAAAGCAGCGTGGACGTCTTTGTGCATATATCTGGATCAGTTTGAGAGATTCACGCCCTGAAGCCGTCTTCACAAAGAATGTCCAATTTCCAAAACTGATTTCTCTTAAATGTGTTTTTCTGGATGACAAAGTTCACTGGTGTCTCCTTGTAGTTTTATGAGCTTCATATCATTAAGCCAAAAATCCTGACAGACTCTCCGCCTCTGCAGGTGTTTTACTCTGCTCTAAATTCACATTTCAAAAGAGAATGTAACTGATCAAATACACATGAGCATTGTGGGCAATTAAGAGAACCACAAAATCGCATTTAAAGCAAATCTGAGCAGCTAAAGATATATTTCTACACTTGTATAGAAATATAATGCATTTCTCTACTATAAATGCAAATGTGTCAACACAAAAATTTATGTTTACAGAAAATTCTGGTTGCAAAAATGGCGACGTGTGTAAACACTCTCATATTTATACAGAACAAATTAGCTGCATGTTACTATTACTTTTCACTTAACATTTATAATTAATTATTTGCTGTTGACTAGTTTTACTTTTTGTTGTTGTTGTTTTGTTGTTCTGTGCACAGAATGGGCAGATATTACTGGGTGTGTGGTTCTGATCTCATCTCAGGCTGATGGAGAGGTGGAAGCTGAAATCAAAATATCAAGTTTTGTAATTTTAAACATGTATGACATAAACCATAAAAGCTCCATATAATCCAATTAAAAACAACAACAACCTCTGATCAGTGGTTTCTCATATCAATAATAATCCTGTGATTGTCCTCTTATGATTAAATGATGATTGATTTAGATGATGTCAGCAGCAGAAATACATTTTTTACCAACATAGCACCTTCTGAGCTGAGGACACTGGCTACAGCTGAGCTGTTGCCATGGTATTACACCTCCATTTAAAACCATATATATATATAGGAGGGAAAAGGAGGGACGAGTCAGCTCCACAGAGAGACAGAACAATATCAGAACATCCTGTGAACATGAAGTGTGTGCCAATTCAAAACTTCCCATCTCCAAAATGACACCTTTTCAGCAACTAAGCAAACACCCTGAATCTCAGGTGAAAGTGCTTCACAAAGTGTTACGCCGTGAGAATTTATTCCTTAAACTGTGAAAATCTGATAAATGTAAGGTGTATGATGTTCATTTTAACATCACACAGGGATGCCTGAAGTTCTGCTGTGATATATCTGTAGCACAAACTGCTTTGCTTTAATGCATTTGTTTCCATATGTATAGGAATGCCCTCGGTCTCATCAAACAACTCGATATTTCTTGTTCTTGATTCATTTGGGGTTTTTTCTTCTCGCGTCACTATTACCCAGTCATTTCAAGACATAAAGCAGTAAAATCTCTGTTTTTATGTAATTTCCTTTATTGTACAGTATTGTCCTTAAAGAAAGAAAAAAACCTTCATCTTTTGCAGTTTTAGAAAAATAGCAGGATTGAACCACCTGATTTATGATTTATTTAATGAAGAGCAACATTTAAAAACAAAAACAAATCAAAAAACAGTAGAATATTAAAAAAATATGTTGATGCTCATCTTTACTGCTGCATTTAACACATACAGAAATGTAAATATATACAGTCCACTCTGACATAATAAAGAAACCATTTGTACATGACCTGAAGCCATGTTCAGCAATTCTACCCTGTCCCGTCTTGTTACTGTGATGACCCCTCCCCACTCTGTTTGTTCGTGTTTCTGTGTGGGAGGAGGGCAGAGTAGCAGAGGTGGGTCCATAGGGGAGCCACACCTGGCACCGCTCCAGTGACTGCTTTATCAGAGGGCCGGGTTTGCACAATCCATCTCTCTTCTCCATTTGTTGGGTTTATGGCTTGCATGCATTTCCACTCATCCTTGCACTCTTTACACTGCTGATACAGATAATCTACATTTTATTCACAGTAAGGTCAATTTGATTAAAGGAATCGTATTTATTTCAATTTCCTTCTTTGTGTCGACTGTGAGCTGGCATACGTGCTGGGAATAGATGTTTCTGCAACAAGCTAATATCGGCAACTGTGTCCATCCATGCCTTTAACTTTCTATCTTTTTTTTTCTTTTTCCTTGTTTGCCATTTATGAGCATGAAAAGAATAATAAAAGAAAGAACGGAAAATCTTTATATTTATATGGATATTTACAGGATACCTTTGTTCTGAACAAGGAATTTAATAATCCCAAACATGAAAAACAATAATATTTAAGCTATAACTGTGAATATATTATTAACTTGTATTTTTTTCACATTTATAGTTTGACAATAACTGAAAAACAAAGCAGGGGCGCACATATAAAAAGAGCACAATGTACAAAATAATAGCAAATAAGGCATGAAAACAGAGCACACGAGGGCAGGCGGGCAATGGCAAGTGACAAGCAGATGACATTCCAGGAGTTTTTGTTTGTTTCTTTGTGCCATACCATGACCTTCCATTACTTTGTAATATTAGAAAATCAATAATCCAATTTGTTTGAGTTGTATAATCCCTTACAGTGAACATCAAGTCTGCAATCAGTTTTGTAAAAGCTATATTATTTGTTTTGAGGCGACGCAAAGCACTCCCTTTGCACTTGATGCCTCGGTGTAATCGATTACAAAGAAGGTTTAAAAATGGATTTTCACGCTGCGCTGTACTGAACAAGACAACAGGCTGCCAAAAATGAAATATCTGAAGATGAAAATATAACCAATAGGATTTGGAGTTAAAGAGTAACTAAATCCCAACCGCTGCTTTTCTGTCCCCTCTGGCTAACAGTTTAATCTGCTTCACCTCGCGATCACACCCTACAGCACAGTAAGACACACAAGTAAGATCCGGTCAGGAGGAACACCAGCATGCTTCTTTAAGAAGAACCTGTTCAAATCCTATAAATAGGGTCTGCTAGTTTTCCCCTTTTTTAAAGTGTGTGTGCAGATATGTGCCTGAACTCTCCAGCTTCCCATCATTTTCCTGCGAGACGTGCAGACGATTCAGCTACTACTCTCTTGGTTTCTTTGTGCATCTCTGTCTCCGGGGCAGGAATGAAAAAGGTCAAAGGTGAGCTGTGCTTGAACCCCGTGGTTGTGCAACTTACAGTATCCCTGGGAATGCGCCAATTAAGCTCCAGTCCCACAGCTAGCTTAACCCCCACCCCACCCTAACAGTATTCAAGGTATTTGTGAGTGTGTGCAAGTAGTAAACACAAAGGCGATACTGGCACAGTTTAGAGGAAGCTTTCAGTGTGTGTGTGTGTGTGTGTGTGTGTGTGTGTGTGTGGGGCCCTGCTCAGCTCTCGGCTTGTTTACATGCACATAATCAGCTCAGCATACCTGAGCCTGAGCAGCCTGCTTTCGTAAACGTGAAAACTGAGAAAATGCAGGTTTCTTTGAGATTAAGAGATACACGGTTTCCAAGCTACCGCAGATGTGATTTCTCTGTAATGTACATCTATGCTGTTTAACGTGAGCTTGTATATCTTTGCATATCTTAGTGTATGCCCCTCAGCACCCTGCATAATTATGTTTATATGTTTGGTTTTGTGGACAAGATTACAGCGAACCACTGACCAAAAAACAGGAAAAAAACATGGAAGCAACTATTGCAATCATCAGACTTCAGCTTCACTTGCTCTGAATCACGTAGCAGCGCCTTCTTTCTTAAACAGACCTTTAACATTTCTGACATTTTGATCGCAGGCTGAGAAAGTTTTCTGCGCCCACAGGACTCAAATCAGTAAATATATAACTCTAAATTGAAAGCTGGCTGACTTCAGCTTTAAACAGAAAGTCTGGGAAACACAAAGGAGGGTGAGGGCCCTTTGAGGGAAAAGAATTCATGAGACAGCATTTTGTTTGGGGTTTTTTTCCTCTTCAAGTCACAAAGATTAACTTTTGCTAGGCGTTTCTGTTTTTACGTGAGGGATGCTTCACTGCTGCCTCATGTGCCACCTTTACTTGGGAGACAATGTATATATGTGTGTATGTAACGCATGATTGAAAATGGCATGCCCGAAATATTCCAAAAATGCTTTAAGTTGGTGGGGGATGGGTCACATGACACCAGAACGCCATGTTGACCTTGTTTTTTCTGAGAGTGCATGTGAGAGAGTGAGCCGGGCAGCCTTCCTTCGCTTTAGTCACGTGATATTTATGAGAACATGTAACAATTGGGTTTTGCTGATGTAAAAACTAATTTTGTAATTCCTATAAGTACTGTGAGTGTTGTGCATGGGGGAAGAGGCACAGATGATAGAATACCTGAATGCAAACACACCACCTGTGTTTATGGCATCCTGAGTTTCAGAATGTGAATGAAAGCAGTCATCACACAGACAATGCTGTGCAACCACAAATATACTTCATAAATTTACATATGCACTGGGGTTCACCAGTTTGGATGACAGACTGGGGAACCAGCATATGATTGAGCGCTGGAAAATGTGTACACTGTGATTGTTTAACGCTTCTTCCACTAAAGCAGGGGTGTCAAACTCCAGGCTTCGAGGGCCGGTGGCCTGCAGGTTTTAGATCTCACCCTGGGTCAACAGACCTGAATCAAATGATTAGTTCATTACCAGGCCTCTGGAGAACTTCAAGACATGTTGAGGAGGTAATTTAGCCATTTAAATCAGCTGTGATGGATCAAGGACACATCTAAAGGCTGCAGGACACCGGCCCTCGAGGCCTGGAGTTCAACACCTGTACACTCAAGGCAGGTCTGAAGGAAAAAGGTGGTCAAACCTAGTGCTAGTAAAGCATACCTAATAAAATGGCATCTAATTCTTTGTGGCATAGATTCGACAAGGTGCCGGAAAGATTCCTCAGATGTTTTGGTCCACCTTGACTTGACAGCATGACACAGATCTGCAGATCTATTGGTTGCTCATCCGTGATGCAAATATCCAATATTACCAGATCCCAAAGGGGCTCTACTGTAGTTCTGATCATTCAAGTAACTGGTTTTAGATTATGTGAGCTATGTGACATGGTGCTTTATTATTATAAGCAGACATCAGGACATAAAGGGACAGACATGGTGAGAAATACATTCATGTAGACTGTGGCCTTTAAATGATGCTCAGCTGGTAGTAATACATGTGAATAAAAAAATCAACATACATAAGAGATAAAGACAATGGCTCTGCTGTAACTTGGGCTATATTTATATGCAAAGTGATCACTCAGGGAAAAAGCAACAGAAGATGCTGCGCTGCTCTCTGGAACTCTCTGAGGCCTTGCTAATCACTCACCAAATAAGCACAGCAAAGAGGGAGGGCTGTTCTTGTGTCTGTAGTTTTTCTACTCTCCTTTTTTTTGATGGATTCATTTGGGAAAAAGAGATTGTGCCGAAGGGATATAAACAATAGCTAAATCTTCTAACAAAATTTGAAGAGGCGAATATTTGAATATTCTACAACTAAAAGCATCTAAGATGACAGAAGAAAAATCTCATAAAGGTTCAAGTAAAGGTCAAAAGACCTGGCATGTTGGATTTTATGAAAAAGAGGAATGACTGCATACACCATAATATTATTTTTATATTTTAATACAGATGTGCAGATCCACATTCAAGTCAGCAGGTAACATGAGGACACATCTGCAGGGTGGTGCTGATCTGTGACATCAGCTGTGTGATTCAGACCGAGCCCTGTTTCTGCTGCTCGTGCTCTCACCGTGAATGCAGTCGTAGCAGATGCATTTAAGTCACTATTTTTTTGCACTGTATTTAGCCGTTTACCAGCTCTTCTAGCATCAGACCATTAGAGAGCAGTGAGGGCCTCATTACCAGAGAAACCATCAAGCTCAGCTGGTCCAGGCTGCCAGTTTTTGTCCTTCTCCAGCTCTGTTTAGTGACATCTGGCCTGTATAAATTAAAGGCTATTGTATGAATTAATCATATTGTTTTGTATTCTAAATGCTTTCTGCAGCAGCGTCACTTCTGTAGGCAATAAATGTTTTAAAGTCAGATCAATGGGGAGATGCTGTGTCGCTCATTGTCATGTCAGTATATATTTATTGAAGGTCCACAGTGTCTCTCACGCTGAATAACACTAAGCTAAATTGAGAGCTGAGCTCCTGCTGTATGTACATGTCTATTGGGTTTTTTTTAAACAGAAATATGTAAAAGCTCTCCAGAGCACAAGATGAAAATGACTTTAGTCCTTCCAAACAACATTGTCACTGATAAAAAAGATTTATTTTATTTTTCTCTCAATAAATATCCATTTTGTTGTTTTGTTTATTTCATTTTATTAAAGTTCCCATTTTTTCCCCTCACAGTTTCATCACGTGTGTGTTACTTGGTACGTCAGCTGCCAAAGACTCGGTAGGACAGACTGCCATTTGCGTTGCTAACTATGGTCGGTGCGTTTGTATACAGTTGTATTTGCAAATGCTGATTTGTTTGTTTTGCATGTTTACCTTGGAAAAGGGTGATGTCTTTGACTAGTCCCGGCCCAAACAAGCCTTCCAAGATGCTTTCAAAGCCTGTGAAAGACAGACAAGATGTGACGTTAATGCCAGCTGACACAGTTCCCATCGAAACAACTAATGGCAGCGACCAAAAATACAGCTGCGTGGAATAAAACAATCGTTCTTTTAAGGAGGAAATGTGATGACAACGTGCTTTTCTCCTGGGATAGATTTCTGCTGATGCACAAAAGAAAGAAAAAGCGATATAATAATAAATGTGGGAAAAAAACTATTTAAATGAAAATGTAAAGATTTAGCAATATATTATTTTATGTGTGCACACAAATATGAAAATATATTTGTATACGCACACACACAGAATGATGTTAGAGCACAAAAACAAAGGCCTTTCGGTCACACAAAGAGTTAAATATCTACAAAGATAAGGCTCAGTGAGCACTTATTACATATACACACACAATAAAAAGAAAAGACACACACACACAAACACACACACTTTCTTTCTAGCTCTTAAAGCAAATGAGCGATTTACCTCTAATACACCAAGCTAATGTCACTCACTTTTTATTAACTGTAAATACCCCCGATGTGGTGTTGCCAAGCAACAGCACACAAAAAAACCCATAAATACGTATTGTAATTTTCAACCTGACCACCCCCCACCACCACCTCCACCTTTCTTCTCTCTTTCCTCCCCCCAACCCATCCTCCACTAAATGGAAACAGAGGCAGACGGAGAGAAACGGAGACAAAGACATATGTGTGTTTAAATGTGTGTGCATTTTGAGCAGGGGATGGAAGGGTTGGAGGGGTGCGTGCAGGACGCTGCATGCACTCACACACGAACACAGTTCAAGTGTGGCCACTTCGCTCGGTGCTGAAGATGACAGTCTGAGGCCATGCTTCTTTACTCGCAGGAATAGCAGAGACTGAAAAACCAGAGCCTGCATGGAAATGTATTTCTGTTATAAAATCATTACAGTCAGCAGCAACACTTCAGCTCCCACAGCACCAACACTATAAGCAACCAATATAGGAAAGAGGTCAAAGATTCAAGGATTGCAGCTGCATTTTATAGGTTTCAATCCAATGTGGAAGAAACGCAGTTGGAATGGATCTGGTTTGATTTTGCTCTTATTTTTGTTTTGCCGTAATTAATACACGACACGAGACAGCTGGTTTTCAACTTCTAGACTATCTGAGCACACTGGTTTCAAACTGTGACCGCAACAATAGCGGTCAGCTTTAATCTGACGGTGTATCTATCAAACACTGTATTTATTTCCAGATGCTTTTCAAGTCCCTTTTTTTTCATTTTCACCATGAAAATTTGACTTTATACGCTTGGTTTTAAAACAATGAGCACATTACTGATTATGCGCTTAGACGTGCAGGAACACTGAAAAAAGTGTGTGAAATGGTGTGTGTTTGTGAAAGAGATACAGAAAGAAATCCCTCATTATCTGTCCCTTACTCTCCAGGCTTGTGTTGGCCTACAGCCAGATACAAATGAACTTGTGCGTATGTTTTAATTTCCAGAAACATCTGCCATGTGGTGACACAACAACACATACAGAAATATTACTCAGGACGTTTGTCTGGCAAAATCCAGCTCAGGTTGAGTTTAAAATTAAATAACATGATAACTACTGCAACAACTCCAGCATCATCTATTTAACAGGTCCTCCCTTATCGATAAATACACAGCTACTTTATATAATCTATATAGATTACAGCACTAGATTAGAAACAATTCAAGTAGCATCAAACCAAATGTGTTCAATTTTTAAGTTAATATTTTTAATGAAGTTAGTATTTTATAGTTGCTATTCACATGGATGGTATTGATTAAACCTATTGTGATGGGCACTTTTTTATATTTTGCAAAACATGTTGTATGAAAACACATCCACCTACCCAGCTTACCACACACCCGCACATCACAGTTCCCTTAAACCTGCACATGCAAAATTCATGCAACCAACAAAGACGGCTTTGATAACAAAAAAACAGAAGCTTCAAAGAATTTTCAAAAGCTTCAATTTTTTCTCCTTCCTCTCCAGCTGGCAATGTGCGCAGAAACACAGCTCTCCTTTCAAGCTGGGGGGATATAATTAGGGTTGCAGCGCTGCATGAGAAATCAGCGCTGAAAGTCAAAATTACTGAGCTGCTGCTCTATTTGGCCCATAAGATGGTGAGTGTTTAAAAGGTACAGTCAGCCGCAAACGCTTCTCTGACAGAAGCCCGGGTAGAGTAGAAGATGACTCCCCCGAAGGCCAAAGCCATGATTGGACACATGAGATTGGGGATGCGATTGGGCAAAATGAGATTAGGGGCTGTGATTGGCTAGATGAGATAACGGTGACAAAGTCTCTTGAGCCACTGGCAAAAATCTCCAGAAATGTAGGTCAGTTAGTGAACACACACACTGCTGGTCCAAAAGCAGTCACACATGACTTAGTAGAAAGAGACCACACACACAGACACACACACACACACACACTATGGCATCCGGGACTGTGTCATTGTGTTATGCAAAAATACATGTGAATATAAACTCTCTTCCTCTTTCTCTCGCACACAAATCTTTAAAATCTCCACTGTGCCACTTCATTTCACTTCACTGTACAGCAGCACAGCTGAGAGGAGCATGACCAAAACTGAGGCACATACACAAAAATGCACACATGCACAGAATCAGCAGACATCAAGCTGAACGGTGTGCATTTCGGTGCACATGACGAGCAATTGTGGCAAATATGTGAACAAATGACCGATGCAGTGAAGCTGCTGCACATGCAGGGTATAACACACACAGCACTTTAAGGATAAAGAAGAAGTGGATGATGTAGACATACATGCTCGGCAACTTTACACTAGGAGCCATTATTTTTTTAATGAAAGCTTTGGCATTTTATGGTATGCTTACGAGTTAATGAAAGCGGACAGAAAATATGATAACCCCACACTCTATATAATAGATGGATGTAGCCACATAATGCCTGCCACCATTTTGGAATCTTGGAGCTAAAAGCTGCCATATTTAGACTAGAAGATGCTAATCAACTAATGCTAGCAAGCTTCGTTAGCTGCAAGTTATTATGAAGGCTGGAAACTCTGCAGAGACCAAAGCTTTTGTTCGTAACAGACAGACTTCCTCAAGGCTGAAAGGAGGCTCACTTTGGGTTATTAGATGAACTGCAGTTTTGGCATTCATTCACTAATGTTTCTGCTTGGCGTTAACCAGATTTGGACCTTTTTAAAAAAAAAATATTGTGTGGATATATCTCTTAGGAAAACACCATCAACATCAGATTGGTAAAAGTCTGCCTCTTGGTGCTCTCACAGCGCTGCTTTGTATTTGTCAAGAGCAATGAAGCAACTAAAAAATTCACTCAGGGTGTGCTTGTCAAATCAAAGCACACCCAAACGTGTAAAGAAACAACATCTCTCAAATTTCCAACAGCCAAAAGGAAAAAAAATGAACATGACCCTGAAGGAAGTAGTGCAATCAATCTGAGCAGGAAGCAGAGAGGGGAGCAAACAGGGATTGGGTTAAGCAGCACAGAGGAACCAACGCTTGACTTTCGTGTGAACACTGGATGCACACTATATATAGTTCTGTATGAACATTAATAATTCATTGTGACCAAAGCCTTTAGAATAAGGCCCCTTGCCTGGTCCTGATCAAATCAATACCTAATTAACCCTAACAGCTGTAAGGAGTGCAGGTATGTGGTCTCCTAGAACTGTTTATAGCTGAAAGCCTGGCTGTAATAGAGAGGGTTAGGGAGGAGGAGAGATGGATATGGTTGAATAAAAAAAGGAAACATGAATAATATCACACAGTTTCAGACAATCTTTCCAGGAGACATTAATTGTGGTGTTGTAGGGTTGACATTTACAAAAGTTACAAAAAAATGGTCCTGGTAGAAATTCTTAATCCAAGTCGAATAAATCCAGGGTCATGAAAATGAGACAATACATGGGAGTGCAAACTGGAGGGAATAACTGAGCATCATTTACTCCTCCTAACACTCTAATAAGCTAGGGTTTCAATTTCTTTACAATTTTTTTTTATCCCTGCAAGGTCATTACATCCAAACCATAACCCTATAAAATCAGAATATGTCCTTTTCCCCCTTAAATCTTAGCAAGAACAAGAACAAGGAAAATAATCTTTCTAACTGACACATATTTTAAACCATTTCAGTTGTTTTGACTTGGGCCTTCAGTATTTAACCCTTTAAAACCTGCAACATGAAATAACTGCCAGAAATCTTTAATTATTTGATAATGGAGTGTTTGTTGAACCTTTAGGCAAAATATATAAAAGATATATTATTTTTAATCTGCATATATGAGTTTTAATTTGTATCACATTTACAATTTAGTCATTAAAAATCTATCATGCAATTTATATCGTTTTTTGAGGGTAAAAGAGAAGTCTCAAAAACTCATAAAAACGCATGTATTAAATATGCTTGGCTTTAATTTTTGGCCTCTAAATACATATCCAACACTCTTTGATGATAACCTGTTGACACCTGTAAAATAAACGTACAGAAGTCAATCTGTGAGAATTATTCTGACGAGGCCGTCTTCAGTCACGCTGATCCTGTTTCTGGAACAAGCTGCTTGATGATTCAAAGTCCATGACAACTGTTACTCTCAAAAACTTCCATATTCTCCCACACCTGTAGCTAATCGCTGTGTGTGTGTGTGTGTGTGTGTGTGTGTGTGTG